TTTCCAGTTATTCATAAGCTGACAACTAGAAAGAATCTTAACTCTGGCTGAGGTTCAAACTTCGTCTGTTTTTTCCAAAAGTTTCTAGATCTCTCCCTTAACAAATACAAAGATTTTCTGGTGAAAGATGCATTACGAGTTAAATACTCTGTAAATGAAAAGCTTTTAATATCCACTGAAATAGAGATTCAGTTGACACATCCAGTTCCTGCTGTTTGAGTGTTCCTATTTCACTATTTTCTGTAATCGTGCACATGTTTTCATTGGTATTTAAAGTGATCCATTATCAGGTCTCATCTCTAGTCCTAGTGTTTAAAAAATAGACCCAGAAAAGATCCCAGTAAGTTATGCAGTTCACTCATCTGACCCAGTAATACCTTTTTCTGAAAGCTGTTTTCCAGCCTTTTTTTAAAGACTTCCTTAATACTTTAACGCAATCTATTTCAGGGAGTCACAGCCCTCTCAGTCCTTTGGAAGTTACTCATGTTGAGCCTGAATGTTTCTCCTTGCAATCTAAAGCAGTTACATTTTGTCCAAAACACTATAAACACTGAAAACATTATTCTGATTACTTTGTCCTATGAAGCAGCCTTATTAAGTATTTGAAACCTTAGAGTATCTCACTTAAGTCTCATTTTCTCTAGCCTCAGAAAAATCTTGAATTCATTTAACCTTTCTCCTTCTCTTTAGGCCACGTCTTCCATATTTCTGGTCAGTCTCACTGCTCCGTACTGGAATTCTGCAATCTGTTTAATGGACAGATATTTTTTTCCAGGATGTGACATCTGAAATTAGAAACAGTATTTTGGTAATGCCTTATTTATGATTAATAGAATAAAATTATTACAAGCCCATTCTCAAAGATAAATGGGGGGGGGGCACTTCATTCACTTCTCTGAGAGAAAGCTTGGTTAATATATGAGTCAGATAAATTGGCAATACCACAGACATTAATAAATTCTAGTAGGATGAATATCATGATAAAAGAAAGAGGGGTATCTTGAGTCCATTTGAATGATCGCATATAGGGGCAAGTTTTCACATCTAATTAGAACAGGTGACACAGTCTGCAGTCTGCTCCCCATGGACAATAAGTTTACCCTTTGTTTTTCTTGGTATAATACTTAAATTTTAAGCTAAGCATTAGTCTTTGGTTTATATGCAAGTAAAATGAAAAGACTTTGATTTTATTCAAGGTGCAAAGGTTTCTGCTGATCTGGAAGTCAGAAGTGACATATCACCTGGGTTTTGGCGAGTAATTTGTCCACGTTCTAAATATCAAGGTGAATGGTAGGAATAATTTGAAACACTGTGCTCTCTCACCATTATTTAAAGGTTCTATTGGTTTAATGTTACACATTTATATATTTCTGAAACCTTACAGAAAAACCAAAGAAGGTTTCTCCTCTGTAGAAGTTTTTTACTGTCTTTACTTAGATTTCACAGATTGTAACCTTCTGCCAGGTAACACAGCCTGCAGAGTAGAACCTGTCATAGACACCAGCTGCTTCCACCTGTGCTCTCTTGAAGTACAGAACTCAAAAGATGACTCACTGTGTACAGATTTCAAAAGAAACCTTCCGGTCAAACATCTCTGATGGCATTGTGCCCTTTTTAAAAGGTATCTGTAGTGTCACATAGTACCAAAGAGGTGTAAATCACTTAAACACATTAAGCATCCATTATTCAGTACCCTGACTGTATTACAACAATAACATTTAAAGTCAGCCAACTTCTGGATAGACGTTTCAATCTCAATACCAAAGTAAAACAGCTTCTCCTTTACTGGAACCACTTCCTATAGCTTAATGCTATTATTAACAAAACAAACAATTACTAGTTTATTTTTTTAGAGTTTTGCAGATAAAAGACATGAGACTAACCAGAAGTATTACTTCAAGTGTAAGCCAGAAACGTCTTGGAGAAATGAGAATAACAAAGGTAAAACAAAATCATTGAGAAAGATTGCTCGGTTGAGTCGTGTATCTATTAGTGGGATTCATAAGGACATCGGTGATGTGCCCTATGCCAACTCAAAACTCAAGTGCACTGGAATATTTATCCTAGAGCAGCTCAGTCTTTCTTTTGAACAATGTTTTATATTTATTTTCTCTCATCTAATCTTTATTTGCCACAGAAAAATCAATTTTCTTAAACTTGCATCACAACTTAAGTTATGATAATTGCAATTTAGTTTTCATTTATATTTTAATATAACTTTTAACAGTACAATCCAAATTCTCACTTACCAACGAGTCAGTATTCTGTATTGCCCAGGAGGAAGTACCAGAGCTATAAATGAACTCTTGAATTCTGCCGACTCCTTTTGTTGATTCACCTGCCACTGGTTGTGGTTAAAATTTAATGCAAGATATACAAATATATAATCATATGCACAGAGAAAATCAGGTCTTGTGCAAACTTGGTTAATTTGGACTTACCTTACGTAAATGCTACAACAGTCCTTTTATTTTTAATCTTCAACTCATCATCTTTGTCATGGAGGAAGAACTCACAGGAAGAGGATCCAAGCAGTTCCCTTTTACTAGTTTAGCATCACCATAACATCCAGAGGTCTCTAAAGGCATAGACACAATTGGGTCCTTACAGGAAACTTTGTAGTCTAGTTCTGTATGCATAGGAGCAAGGTATCCAACACACATCGTAATAGAAGGCCATAAGGAGATGGGAGACTTTTGATAGGAAGAGGGCTGAAGACTTTACATAAGCCTGAGAATATGATCCTTAAAAGGAATATCGACTGTAGCAGCATAAACTTCAGTGTAGACTAATTTGGCCAACTTCTTGACAGAAAAATAAAATGCTTTCTATACCAACACACACAACTCAGGTGTGAAATTTCTTTTCTGAAAGCTTAAGACACCATGTGTTACAGTTACCTCCACTTCTGCAAACATGCCTGAACCAACCTTTGATGAGATTTCTACATTCTTTTACCCTTGATTTAAGTGTCACATGTATGTATACATAAATAACTGACATGTTAAGGTGGATTTTGAATACATTCAAAACGAAACATATCTTTGAAACAAGCTATTACAGTTTGAAAATATCTAATTGGAAATACATATTAGTGCTATCATTTATTAAACACTGAGGTTTGCTACTTTTTTCTGAATGAAAAAAAATACTTCAGTATTTCTAAAGAGTTTAAGGGAAACCTGAGATAAGAAAGTTGCTGGCAATGTTGTCACCAGATATAAATGTGCTTTACTAAAAGATAAAATGCTATTTTTACCTTCTTATTGTGGCTTTATATTAGTTTTTAATAATAATTTTTTAAAAAGAAACTAAATGGAAAACTGTAATGTAAAATAATATAACATTAACTTTAGACAAACTGATTTGCATCTTTTTTCAGACAAAGCAAAAATGAAACTAAACAGTATTAAAGTGATTTTTTTATGTACAAACACAGACTAAGCACAAAATGCTGAGAACACAGCATACTGAAACAAGCATAATTTCTGTAGTCTTCAAATTATCTGTTAGGAAAATATATGAACAACAACGGTAACGTACAAGTGAATGATCAAAAAGTGCCAGCTTCAATAGTGCAACATTTTATTAATGACAGAAATACCTGGTTTTTAACACTGCTCAAGTTACAGAAAATTGCAGTGATAGTAATAATGGCAGTAAAGGGAGATTTGGCACTGGATATAGAAAATAGAAAAAGCACTTCTCAGTGGTTTTCTAAACAGATCAACAAAAAGCTTATTGGTAGAAAATAAGAAAAAATATTCCTTTCGGTTATTTAAACTGGCCAATCAAGGAGCAGAATAAAAATGTGTTTGTGTAAAATAGTGCAATAGAATTCATACGTGGTTCTTTTAGGAATGTTACCTTTTCTTCAAGTCAACTGATGTAAATGTAAACACAAATACGCTAAGGTACATTTGGCAACTTGCACGTGTGCATTTGTTTTTATTCAACTGCACAGCATATAAATGTTGAATACTAAAAGGTGCACTTTAAAACGGGCTTTATTTGTGGCTTGCTTACACACCTCTAGCCTAGTTTATGCTCCTTGTTTTTTTCCCCCAATTAGACCTACAATGGCAGTGTTCCTAAAAATACATTTGTGTGGAATGTCTAAGTTTCTTATTTAAAAGCTCAACAATCTAAAATGTAACACACTAGAGTGATGTTTATATTCTTATTAGCCTTTACATGAAGTTTTCATGTTCCAGGTGTATATTTTGGTATGTACAAACTTGAAGGCAATATAAGCTACGTCTGTGATGCGAGAAAAGATCTGGAGCCCATTAAAATACACTAGCCATTTTGAAACAGTAGTTTATGTCTTATTTTTTTTAAATCTTTAATTCTCCTAAAGTTTTACATACAAAGAATAAATGAAATATGATCTTTTTTCCTTAAAATTTAATACCGGAAACTGGTGCAAGACAAAAATCTATGTTGTGGTTGACTTGTTTTTAAACAGGAACCTGAGTATGGGCAGGAAATATAGCTTTATGACTAAAAGAATAAAATTCCTTAATAATTTAAGTAGTTGAACAAGTTTTTAATGTTCCACCACAAAGCAACAAGGCAACAGATGATAACGGCCTTGTACTCAATGAGTTATCATGAACACCCACTGCAAACCTGAATATTTTCTGCAAAAATAAATCATCAGATTATACACAATAATAAAAAGCATCATAAATAGATGCACCTGGATTTTTTTTTAACCACAAATATCAGATTCAGCATTTATATTACAGTCCTTGAACAGTTGCTCCGAGATGACTACATGAAGCACACTACTGCACTAAGTAGGCACCCCACAACAGGCTTGCACTGCAACAGTAACATAGTTTTCATATAGGCACAGACTTTTTCTTATTCATGTTCAAAACCAACATGAAATAAACAACTCAAGACAATATTAGGACTCATCCCACATTTCCTTGTTAGCAAAAGTTCTTGCCACTTTGGTAACTGAAGTCACTGAATTTTTAAAAATTGCAAGTACCTCAAGGGAAAGAAGAGTTCCATATTCAGCAAGGCAGCATTATATCAAGATATTTTATACCAACTAAGGCATAAAGAACTTTGCATCAGGGCATACAATACTCAATTTCTGAATAAAGTTCCATATTCTATGCGGCAAAAGTGCATAGGAGTGGGATTCCACTAGAGTAGAAGAGATCTTCTCACAGTATTAAGGCCTTTCAATTTTATGTGAACTGTGTCAGGCTAAAATCAGCACAGTGGAAAAAAAAAAGACTCTCATCATACTGGACAGCACTGAAGTTTTCTTAGCATGTCTTGTCTTCTCCCAGTTGTCGCTCATCTTCTTCATCAGCTTCCTCAATAACCTGAATTTCATCTGCTTGAGGTAAAGATATTTCAGTCAGCAGCTTAGCTCCTTCAGCTTTGTTTTTTTCTTCCTCTTCAATCATTTTCTTCCATATTTTGTGATTTTCACTAAGATGGTCTATTAGTTGGCAAAATATTCGTCTACCTTTTTTTCTTTGAGCTTCTGTAAAATTATAAGCAAATTTGATTATTATTATTTTAGACATAGGAAACCAATGGCACATTGTAAGAGAGATGTAAATTTAAGCAAAAACCATGGATGCTTACTCAAAATATTTAAATAGTGACATGGCAAAGGATAACAATGAGTTTCTGTTTCAAATTACAAGCCTCCTGGTATTAGCAAAAATTTTATTAAAAGAGTAAAATTTATGAAGCAACAATCATAAAACCATACTACACAATTTGCACCATCATTGCTATGTCTGAATCCATGAAATGACAACCAGTTGCGCCAACTGAAATACAGAAACTTACTTAAAATGAGATCATCTTCCATTTCTTCATCATCACTCTCTAACTGTGCTCCATCATCATCATCTTCAGTACTTTCTGCATCCTCCTCCTCTTCATCAACCCATTGCCCTGGAAGCAACCCAGCTGCGTTATAGGAATTACAAAGGGGGCCAACTATGTGAGTGATGAAAGATTCTTGGAGTTTAGCAAGCTGTGGAGAAGAACGATCCATGAAGGGGCTTATCGGTAATCCAAGGCTTGCTTCTTCATCACCCTCATAAAGAAATGAAAAAAAAATTATCAGAACTTCTCACAAAATTAACTTTAAACTTTTATTCTAAAGATTACTTTTAAGGAACCAAGTAAACATCACATGATTGTATCTTTTTACTAGAGGCAATAATAGTAGAGCCTAAGTGAATGAAAATGTAATTCAGCCGATTTAAAATAAAGGCACATTATGGCTCAGACTCGTGTCGCCCATAATCCTCCCTTCAGCTTCGCTGCGAGATGCCCTTGTGCATGGATTGAGATCTAGTTCCACTGGAGCTCCTATTCCTTTGCCTTTACAGAACAGCTTCAAGGTAGGCAGAGAAGTGACTTCAATTGCTGAGCTGATGAACAGAGATAATGAGAAAGTGATCCACTGGAATAAGGCATTCTGGTAAATGGCTTCCCCCAAAAGTCATAGAATGAAATGAACCATAACATCCAGAATAAAGTGGTTTGGTTTGGGGCTTTTTTCCCCATTTTATGAATTGGAGAAAAAAAAATTGAACCGTTGTTCATAAACAACTCTAAGTTATAATCACTTGTCTCAGCACCTCTGTGGACCTGATTGTTTTATGAACAGGTTTTTCCTAAAGGAGCAATTTAGAATACTAAGGCCTTATAGTAAGTGTAATTACTTCAGATTATTATTGTTATTGTTTAAATCTCTCAAGTGATTTTGTTGGTTACTTTTATCTTCCTAGTTTAAAAAAATATCTTTCAATCCTTGGTTGTTGCCTCATAAATACTTAACTCCTCAGAAATTGGACTACAGATAAATAACAGAGTAGAAATGTAGAATATATTTGTGAGGGACTTACAGAAATTGTAAATGTAAAAATAGGCAACAAATTTTCAGACTTCTTTCCCGTTAATCTTGATAGGATTATTTATCAAAGTTCCACTGTAAAAATCTTATTTACATTTTAATACTGTTAGTTACTAATGTGTCTATTTAATTTAACTTTCCATACCCACCTGTTCATAAAACTCATTAACGATGCCTTCTGTCCATTTCAGATGCAGGTCTCTAACTTTTGCTGGGCCATTAATATCTGCCAGTTTGATGCATATTTGACAGGCCAGTAGGCGATCATTTTCATTGCTCCATTCTATACCATGACTGTTGATATCATTGACCTGGGTTGAGCACATACAGTTTTAAAAATTAAGTTAAAATTATTAGTCAATGTTATTTTTTTCAGGCTTTGCACAACAGACACTTGCATTAATTTTTCTACTTGAGTTTTGTCTTGTATAGTAAAAATAGGTCTCCTGTGGGTCCTTATGTCACATCTGTTAGGTTCATTAAGTAATCTACAAAGCAATCTACAATTGGTTTGTACGAAGGAAATAATCTATTTCAATCTTTAATAACTTAAATTTAAATAATATAAATAATATTCAATAACAAATTTAAATAATAATATATAATATAAAACTTTAAATGCAAGTTACTAATACTAACAGCTGCTGAGTAGCAACAGTAACATCAGTACATCATGAGCAGCACAGCGCAGACACTGAAATGTAACAAACCTTGGCATTAAATTCTGCAAGGAAATCAAAATGCTTCTTGAGATCTGTGGCAAGGATTGCTTCAATCACTAAGAAACGAAAACGCTTGAATTCTACATGATCAAGATTTGATAAGAAGTTGAATTCTGGTCGTGATAAGAAAAGATTCCAGGCAGAAGCAGCATGGTGATTTTCTAAGACTGATCTGTCATTGTAGAGAACAGCCTACAGAAATAAAAAAAGAGAGAGAACCATAAGTGACAGAGTAAAGAATTATGTTTATAATTAAATATTCTGAAGCCTAGCCGGACTAGTCAGAAACAATTCCTAATTTAAACAAAGAAACAAACAAACCAACCTAAACAAAGCAACTATTAGAGATGATGTTTTGCTTTCTAGTTTTGAGGGTTACAGTGAAACAAAAATGGCAGATAAGGAAAAAAACACAACAAAAAACATCAAGCAAAAAATTAGCAAAGTTTTCTCTTTCCTTAAAAGTCCTTAATGATACCTTAGTGACATCCACATTCAAACTACAGGCATTTGTGTGTGGAACACACACACTGACATCAAAAACCCAAACAAACAAACAGAAATCAAAACCCAAATCTAAGTATATGCTTTTAATTCCTCTTAATTCCTGTACTGTTTAAACAAACCAAACAAAAAACAAACAAACAAACCCCACAAAAACAAAGACAAAAACCACCATGAAAACAACGCCAGAGCATATAATAACAGTGGTGAATGTAAAACGGCGTGGAGTATCATTAGTTTTCAATGCCCTACATTTAATGCTGCTGAATGCATTTTATCTGCAAATAAGTTAATTAAAATATTAAAACAGTAGTAGATTTTACTTGCAACTTGCATGTTTATACAAAACATCCTAGAAAACAATTAATTTAATATAGATTAAGTAGGACCTGAAAAAAATCTTTGGAAAACTGCAAAAATCATCTTTATGTTTTGAAGAAAGGAAGAGATTATTAACAAAATGAATGCATTTATGTTTTGAATTGCAGATGTCTGCAGTGTTTGGTTTTGTTCTTCCCTGTGCACTATTTTCAGCAGAAAGACATAACTCCCTACATCCTAACATTTTTGCAATAGGGAATTGTTGAAAACTGCCTGGAAACTTCACTTCTAAAGCCTTCATCTCCTGACAAGTTACATTGGTTTCTGATTTACTATTATTAGTAAAGTGACTTTTACTGAAGTGGTAATATCCTATTAAAAATTATTACTCTTTAGATAAAAATACTTCACTGTGCAGTTCAGGCATCGTTTCTTCAGTGCTTTTCCTTCCAATTCTTTCCTGCCTCACTTTTTTCCTGTCCGCAAATTTCTTTAGCTTTACTTTCCTTTACCTCTTTGGTCTTAGCCTTTTAGACCCTCAAGAGCATAGCATCTCCTTTCTTTCTACTCCCTGTTCTAACAACAAAGTTGAATATGGGAGATAAAAGCAAGAATGCCTTGATGATTTCTTCTCATTTCACTCACCCTTCCTTAAAGGTAATGGCTATTTACCATAAAGGACTAATTTGAAATACAAAGATTAAGTGATGCAGTTAATTGGGCTATTAAAAGACCATGTGTTTTTACAGTAGTTGCAGACACCAGTATTATTTCAGGGGACTCCCAAAATGTAAGATATCCAGGAATTAGCTGCTTAGACAGTTCTAGGGCCAGTTTTCTGAGATGAACATTTTCTGTAACCTGCATTGATTTATGTTGTTATTTTCAATTCTGTAAATTGAAAATTAATTTTACACACATACACCACCAATACATCCAAACCACACTGGAATTTATTAGAAAAAAAGGTATTACACAAGTTAAGAACAAATTATTTTCCCTGTTTATTAAATTAGGCAAATGATCCTAAACAGGCTACAGTAGAGACATAGAAGAGAAAAAAAAATGTCATTATTCTGATTTCAGAGACAGACAAATAATTTTCTGGTTAAATAATTTCTTACCTGGGGTGCATTTGTAGCCACTAAGAAAGCATTTGTACGACCAGGATGGTCATAATCGTGCATGGCAGCTGCTACGTATAAAGCCATCAATTCCAAGGCAGGAATGTTTGATGCTAGACAACCATAACTGTCATCAGCAATAGAACAACTTTTTGAAGAAATATAGCTGACTTGAAGAGGGGCAACGCCACTAGCTTCATGTAAAGAAAATCGAAAATACAAAATTAAAATGCTTTAGAACATTATTTCACTAATATTTTTAATACATTTTAAATGACTCAGATACTATTGTGAAGATAATATAGTTAGCCTTGTAATTGTGGAGCTGAATAATTGGCAAAGAAATCCTTAAAGAAAAAAGTCATACTATTGTTTATAGATAAACCAGCAGTTTTGAAGTGCAAGTGAGTCATTAATCTGTCGTAGCCACGTGAGTTTTCCTAGGTAGATGCAGTCTTACAAATATATAAAAAGCTTCAGTTGTTTCATGGCATTATACAAATTATACAAATTATACAAAAGGGCAAAATCCTACAGGACATTGTGGAGCCTGTAAGAAGTGTCCCAAAACTGGAAAGCAGAATGTTCCAGTTCTTTACCTAGTACTACATACAGATATACCTCAGGATCCATTTTTTTCAGACAAGATTTCCCATTACAGTGCTGAGGGATAACTGTCAGTCACATGGAAAAGGAAGCTTTCAGAAGAGCTGTGAACAGTCATAACCATTAAAAAGAAGTATCCACCACAGTCAGAGCTCACCCTTGCCACGCAACTTTAGAAGACATGTGTGGGCACATACCCACACTGACTGCACTCAGAGGAAGAGGAGAGGAAGGAAAAAAATGTTTGCCTTGGTCCTCGAAACTGCGTGGGCCTTAAAAATGTAAAGCTGAGGAAGTCACTGTCTTTGCAGCTACAGTTCACTCATGCTGCAAAAGGCTGGTTCAGAGGAATGCTTCAGCAAGCACAGACAGCAGTCTAGTGGAACAAGGGACACTGGCCATCCAGCCTATGTCTCTTAATTGCAGTAGAGTTGTCCTTTAGATTAGAGAGCAACCATAACAATCTATGCTTCTAATTATTAAAATGCACTTGCAGATATTTGTTCCATGAGAGGGAATGAAAAGGAGAAAAACCAGCAAAAACGTACATCTGGGAGCCCAAACTACACATCTTGGAAAATCCACATGGATACCCACAGTTACACATGACTGTTAAGTTCTCTGTCCCTTTGCCTTCCCCTTACTGTCATGCTGCTAAAGGACTCCTGCTGTTATGCAGACCTGGAATTTCATTCCCTTCTTAAAACAAAGGCATTAGAAGAGCATTCTACAGTTTATCTCCAATCTCAATAAGGCCAAGAAAGAATCAATCAGCATCTCCCTTGTTATTTCTATAATTTGCCCAGTTCTCGAACTTGCAGATCTATGAGAAAAGCTCAGGGCACAGTGGAAACTACTGCAAAAGGAACTAAACCCATTCAGTTAGAAGAATTTGCATGACAAGGAGGTTAACAGTTTTATTCTCCTGGACAAAGTCAGTACCTAAAGCAAAAAAATAAAAATGTAATAGCACTCATTTCATCACTGCATAACAAAAATAGTCTGGTTTGCCTTAATAGAATAAATGAGGATTAAAAATCCTCATAACACGTTTACTGGAAGAGTTCCAAAGCAATAAGACTGTAATTCCTTATTTCATTTTTAAGCTGTTTGTAAAAGGAAACAAAAAGGATTTTTATGATTTTCCTCTCCTATAGTCAAGTCTAAACCTTTTAACACTCAGAGAAAGAAAGTGCAATAGGGTTCAGTCAGTGGATATGGAAAAATTTGGAAAAAAGAAAGGTGACAGCAGAGGGGGTAATCAGTAAGGAAGAAATAACATCTACTGTATGATGTTCTGTACAGTTCACAAATTACTTATTAAAATTATAGCCCTTTAAAAGCCACAAGACGTGCATCTTCTCTTTCTTTTACTGCATATATGGAACAGAGTTCTTAGAGTGTGCTAGATTTCCCCATTTTATTTTTCTTAAATACATACATTTTAGTATATATTATTTATATTTAGAATAATTATACTTTACTTACAGTATGTATTTTTGTAAAAACTACAAATCTAAATTTAAAAGGTAATTCCATAAAGTCACAGACAACACAAAAGCAAGCTTCATTAGAACTAATGTCATACTAAACTTGAATTTGACATCTTTATTTCTCTTTCAGGGATGCTCCCAGACAGTTACTGGTAGGGCAGTCACTTCAATGCCTGAATGTCTGCATGTGATGTCTGATACAGAATTCTGAAATACTCATTTTTACACTAAAACTATTAAAAACTTAAGTTAAATACTCTGACTTTGATATTTTTTCTTTGACTTACTTGATTTCCCAACAAAATTAAGAAATATTAGTCCAATGTATTTCGAATGCTAAAAATATGCTGACTGTAGCAGTATTGTATACAGGTTATGTATACAGGTTGTATGAGGTTACATTCAGCACAGAAAATGTATTAAGTGAACGTATACTCTTGGCTAACAAACTACCCACTACTCATCTACTAATTTTTCTAAAAATCTACTGCATTATATTTCTAAATGGCATGTACCAACATTGTGATATTTCTACTGCCTTATATTAAAATACAAAAAAATATTAGAGCAATAAGAATAATTAGATATTTTCTTTCAGACTGATTTGTTTTACCGATTGCATTTTAATTAAAACATTCTTACAGCATAAGAAAAAGGTAACCTTTGTGAATACATACACATATCGCTTTCCATTATATGCTCATGATGCTGAAGTCCAGGAATGGGCCGTGTTGTCAGATACCACACTGCGTGAAGAACATCCGTGGCATGTATACGATTGTGATCTGAAAACAATCAAAATATAATAAAAAATACTGTATGAAATACAATCAAAAGGAAAAAAAGGAAAAATATAAACGTAATGTACCAAATTTACTATAAGGGAGATTTTGATTAAATATAAAGGAAAACATGAATTGGAGTTGTTAGTAGAGGCTATATCAACAAACATTTTTAAGAAAAGAGTTTGATAAACATCAAACATCCTCTAAGCATACTTCATCCTACCTTAGAGTCAGGAAGGGATTAAGTAGGCTTTTAAATCGGTGATGGTGAGACAGTACCATTGCTTCTAATCTGATACCTACAAGCGTCTGTGTTGGTGCAAATATCTGCGACATGGAGAATGTGTAAGGTAGAGGTGTGTGTGGGGGGGTGTATATGGTTTTGTTTGGTTTTCCAAGAAATTTGGCTGCCTTAAACAGCAGGATGAATAATTACTGTCAAAGTTCTATATTTTCTTATTATTCTATTACAAGCCTAAACTAAATTTCTGTTAAATCAACAAGTATTCTTCCATTGGCTTCAGTAGGCTGGATTCAACTACTCATTCAAAACCTTTAAGATTATATTCAACCCACACGTTAACAATTTCAGTTTTGGAGTCCACCAATATCTTTGCTGCAATTCATTAAATCCATTCTAAATTCTGACAAATGTATTACTTAAAAATATATGAAGTTCAAACATTGTCTACCTCTGTATTAAACTAATACACCCACTAAAGGAGATACACTAATATAAAAGAAAGACGTATGTAACTGAATAGCACTTACAGGGAATATCTCGGTAGCCGTTTTCTAGTGCACAGAAGTAATTCATGAATTCTCGAGTTGGGATTTTGAAAATTTCAAACAAACCAGTGTCTTGAAACAAAGTATAAATTACCTAAATACACATTAAAATTAATTTTAGTCTGGAAAAATATGTATGCATATTTAAACTTTTAAAAACATTTCCATTTTAAAAATCTTGTTTGCGGATAGAGATGGAAATTACTGAAAAGCCATGAAAGATTATCTCAAAGCTATTGTCACTGATTTTTAGCACAAAAATGTGGATTTTTATCATCTTTTCAAACACAGAATAATAAAAGCTTTTATTTACTGACAAATTCTATGCATAGCTGATTATTTTTAATCATATTCTTCAAAATGTTCATGTTAAAGAACTCCTGCTTCATTTCATTACTGACCTAAAAAGAATAAATCTACATTCTTACTAAAAAATTCAAATTACTTACTTATAGTAGCAGAGCCATTAATATAAAAAAAACTATAGTGTATACTTGAGAGACTTGCAAAAAGATCCTATCTCTTGGATTTGTTATGACTTATCTTAGGTATTTCTAACAACGCTAGCTGGTAAATGAAAAAAAGTATTTCAAAAATGTACTCAGATCACCCACACATGTACAGCCTGTGCAAATATATTATGGTTTACAAGTAGATCTTAGTGACTACAATGAACTAACTTCCCCAAGACTGCAAATGTTAAGAAAGCTTTTCAAAACGAGTCACCACTACTCATTTTTGTCACATCTTTCCCAGGTATTTGAGAGAAAGAATAAGTTCTGAAGTGTGGGATGTGCTCAAAGGAGCACAAGAGCGAAATGAGGGGATGTCCCTCCTTCCAACTGTCCCAACCATTCCTCTTACAACTGATGATAGTAAAATACAGCTTTTTTTAATTGGCTCTTAAATAAGATATGTATCAGCTGCTTACAGCACACCAGACAAAAAGACTGGGGTGGAAGGAGAAGTAATGAGAAGTAATACCCATACATACAATATCAGGAAGAATTGATACAGAAATTCTGCTTAGTAGCAACCTGCACACTTACATACTTACAGGTTTGAACTATCCCCTAGACTGAACACAAATTAAATACAAGCTAATGTGGATCACAGAGTACTACTATATACACTACAGTAAAGATCCCACTCAGAAGTGGATTGTGGCATTCTAGTCTGTACGTTACCAGTTGTCACTAACTGAGGTGACTAAAGATTTGAAAACATTTTCTCAAACAAGGCTAACTGGATTCAAAACAATACCCAGAAAATTCTGTATTATCAAAGAAAAGACAGTGTCTGATGACAAAATTGAAATTATCCCCATTGTTTTTTCCTGTCTTCAGTTCAGGTGCGGGCCTACAGTTCCAACTGCACTTGAGCACTTCTAACCTGTTTCCTTCCCTCCAGCTGCTTGTTCCTAATGCTACTCCTGTGAAGAAGAGTAACTTGTCTTCTGCTCCAGGATAGGAAACTAAGATACTGGTAATAAAGTATTTGGTGGTCGGATCTGAAGCAAAGCCAGCTCTTACTATAGCTCCATGATTTCTAGATGCAGTATAAAGAGATGGAAACTTCCAGATGACATTGATTAATGAGAGAGGCTGAGAAAGAACAAACAGGATCATACTTTTGCACCTGCCATTAGATTGGCTTCAGCACAACATTAAACTGCACGAAAGAGCTTAGTAGTAAGTCAGAGATAAAAGGAATACTACATGCAGAAAGCAGCATTGAAAAAAAATCCCATTGTTTGTAGGATCAAGAGAGGCAAAAGACTGCCTAAAAGATCACTTCTCTTCCCCCACAGGTGTAGCTCTGGCAGAAATATTTTACTGAAATAAAGAAAAAATAAATGGTTGACAAACAAGGTAGTAATTCTGAAAGCAGGCGACAGTTTTTCATAGAAAATGGCATATTACTACAAAACCTAGTAAGTGTGTATCGAACGTATTTTTACATTGAGAATAAAATACAGAAAATTTGGAGCAAGTTGTCTATAGGTAAATCACTTTTTATGGTTTACAATGAGATGGGGTACATGAGAAATGATATTTCTACTTCTCAAGTTAGTATTCATATATTTGTTGACTGCAAAACTTCTCCACATTTTAAATAAAATACATAAGTGCAACAGCTTCATATAAATTCATTCCCTCATAGAATAAAAGACAACAAACCTGGCTAAGGATCCTTCCAGACCGGTCTCCCATTTCTTGAACAAGGTCAAAAATTTGGAAATTCCAATTGTTCATCTTCTCCATTAGTGAATCATGATCTAACAATATTGTTTCTAATGTAGGACTCTGCTCCACCTGTATGAGAGTAAGGTACTTTGTCATCTCTAAAATCACAGAATCACAGAATGTCAGGAGTTGGAAGGGACCTCAAAAGCGCCCCCAGTCCAACCCCTGCCAGAGCAGGATCACCAGAGCAGTCACACAGGAACACGGCCAGGCGGGTTTTGAATGTCTGCAGAGAAGGAGACTCCACAACCTCTCTGGGCAGCCTGGGCCATGCTCTGGCACCCTCACAGGGAAAACGTTTGTCCTCATGTTCAGATTGAACCTCCTGTGCTCCAGCTTGGGACCATTGCCCCTTGTCCTGGCATTGGGCATCACAGAGCAGAGCCTGGCTCCTTCCTCCTGACACTTGCCCTTTACAAATTGATAAACAGTAATGAAAACTTATTTGTCAGTTGTACTGGCAAAAAAGAGTCATGAAAATGATAAAGCATTATTGAACTTATTGAATGGTGCTGTAACTACAGCTATGAGAAAATCATAAATCAATAGTACAAACAGCACAGCTAATGGCTCTTATTTTGGGGCAGCAGATTTCAGGGCTTTCTGAGATGGTGCTAAATTTTCATTCTTATTTCTTTTTAAACAGGATAAGTTAATAAAACAATGCAAAAATATGCATAGACTAACAAAACATTTACTGAACTTTGACAGTTCATTAATTGCATAAGCTTCAAAAAAGTTGATGCACAAGCGCAAAATGTTAGTAAAGCTTCAACCTTTTGTTTCCCTGCACTTCCAATATACTGCACTGTACAAACATTCATCTGTAAGTCCCACTGGCACTGCCACATCTTTCATAACTTCCAAGAGAAAATACTAGCCAATCAGTGCTTGAGCATAGCATAAACATTAAATCTACAGAAATTAACTCTGATCAAGAAAAAATTAATACAAATCGCCATTTGCTAGTGAAATTTATGCAAGCTGGAAGTACACAATTGTTAAATGAAAATTTGAATTCCAACAATGCACCATTTCCCTTCAGAAATTACAACTCTCAGCAATGCAAAGACCTCTTAACAGCATGTCAGAGACAATAAGGAAATCCTGTATTGACAAAAGTTATTGCAAGTTTTTTTTGCAATTACATGCTTACAAGCAGATTATTTTGTGTTCGATCGATCACTTCCTTCCTTTCATCTTTTTTCTTCTCTGTATGGTGGAAAGATTCTTTCGAAACATTAGCACTTCCAATGTCACCTTAAGGAAAATACACACATAAATAATCAATAATTTATTTGTAAATTACTACTGTCTAATAATTCTTGAACTGATCATACAGATGCTTCACATAAATATACAGGACAGCTTGTTTCTAAGCCATTTTTATTTAATGGATTTAACAACAAAAAAATGTAAAGGACAAAATTTATTACACAAAATCTGTTTGAAGGTTGAGAAAACCTAGAAGCATAACTTTTTACTTGCAAAACTTGATTCAGTGATTAGTTATAGTTGAGATGGCAGAGAACTTGTTTTTTATATGGAGTACAGAATTATAAAGCTCTGAGTGGAAGCTTATTATAAAATCCTCACTCTGAAGCAGACAACATTTTAGATTAACTTGATTATCCTAAGTCACAAACTAAAATAAAATATATGCATATGAGTTAATTTAACTATAGGAAAAATTAAATGTAGAAATACAAAAAAAATAACTTAATTTGCTTTAAAAAAACCCCAAGTTGATATCAAATATTTGTCTATTTTGAAATCCCACCTGATCTTCTGTCTTTATATTCTGCAATTTCTGGTTCTGGTGTTGGAACAGGCTTGAGTATCTGACGTCCACAGCTTATAGAATACATGAAAAATATTTACAACATTCAGTAATTTTCTTCTTTCACTACTACTGTGTTGTACTAAAAATATCTGCAGATTACTTTTCGTAAAAAGGCATGCTTTTGAAGGTTCCTCCACCACGTGACCTTAGAATGTTTTCCTAAATTGGGCACATACAGATTTAGACTGTACTTAGAAAATAATCAACCATGACCTCCCCAGGACTCACCTCAATAAACTAATAAAGTAGAGCTAATTATTTAGAATGTATTCAGAAATACAGAATTCAATTCCCAGGTAGGAAGTCCTCCTTTTCTAAACATCGGTAAAATATTGTCACTGTACGATAACTTCTGCTTTCAAGGATAAGCCATTTCAAATCAATGGCATACATACAGCTTTCTTTAGTCTCCCCAGGATAACACAGTTACAGATTATTATAAGATGATATGCCTTTTTTTCAATATTAGTAGATGTATAGGTCTTGTATATTTTCATTTTAAATGAATTCTTTTCAACGTATATGAAGTTACTAAAAATTTAACAGAGTTCACAGTACCTGCTACACACATAACCTACAGGTGTTTTAACTTGCTGCTGAAAATCTGGAGAACTACATGTGTATCCCGGAGGCTTATGTATATTAACGCTTGGTTTTGTAAGAAAATCAGCGGTATCAGGGAATTCTACAGGTGACCAGCTGCTGAAAGCCCCACTGGAGACAGATCCATAACTAGGTGAACCCACAGGACTCAGGCCAGGAGAAGCACCTTCCAAAACAAACATTACATGGGGGTCAGATTCCAATAATAACATTACTGTTTAGAAAGACTGAAATTAAACTACAAGAACCTTTAGAAATCGTAAAGAATGTGCAAGTTTCCAAAACACGGTATATATCTGACACTGTTAAACATACCTAAATCTATTCCACGATGCAACACGATCTAGGCTACACATCTGAATGGGCAAACTATCAAACATGTTACAGCATCTGGCTTCCAAAGGCTTGGTTTTGTTTTTGCTTTGGCAAAATTTAATCAGTAGCCAAAACTTTCCTTATTCCTTTCTTATTCAGGATTGCTTTTCTAGATTTTTCCAGGGAAAAAAATTAAAATATCGATAAGCGACTTAGAAAAAATCTTTCACCTCACTGTTCTGCAATATAGGACAAAACCACGTTTGAGAAATTTTTAAAAACTAAGTAAAAAACCAAAATGTTGCAACCATATTTTTGAAGCAAGGAATTAAAGTGAGCAGATACCGACCTTTTTCTGAAAGTGAAGTACCCTCTTTTAATTGCCTCGATAATCTATCCAGATCTGCCTAATAAGCCATTGGAAAAAAACATCTCAGGTTTGCTCATGGAGAATTAGAGATAAAAACCAACCAACCAAACAACAGCAAACAACTCCGTCTTCCTTTAGTCCATGAAAATTCCCATTCCTGTTCAAACAGTAGCCAGGGTCTACTTCAGGCTTCTGTCTGCGAAATCTAGGAAAGCAAGCTGGTAAACCTGCATTTTGGCTACCCTATGTGCCCAACATCAATCTACAACAACACTTTGCATTAAGACAAAACATCATTTCTTTCCCTTGTGAGAACACACAACAGACAGATAATCTATGAGTACCTATAGTAAGTTGTAGCCATTGTAAACATACTTCTATCAAAAAGAATTAAGTGTCCATGAGCAAAATAATGAGATGTTCTGTGGACTTTCCAAAGCTGAATCACTTATTCTGCTGCACACTGTGAAGGAAAAACTCTACCATAACTTTTTGGCTGTACAGTGCCTGATAACAAATTACTAAGAGAATATGCAGTATTGACTTTAACTAAGGAACGCATGGATTATACACTTCCAGCAGTGTCATAGGCTACAGTGACTTGACTCAACCACTTCAATAGCAAGTAATTACATCTTGTTACAGTAGAAGACAAGATTTTTCAAATTCCACATTGCTAGCTGCAGAGGCAGAAGTTTTAGAAAGCCAATGTCTCTTCACTGCTGCAAAGAAAGACCTGGAAAGTTGAGAAGCAATTTGTAAACTCCCTTCCAGAATTAAAACAGATTAATTATCTCATGTTGGCTACTTCATTTCATCCTTTTTATGTGCGCACATTCAGCAGGTTTCAATGCATATCATTGCACCCTGTATTCTCCACAAGACTCAAAGCAGAAAACTGCAGAAAGCTGCAGCCCAGCTTTTTGTGAAGACAGAACCGTGAAGAATGTGCAACAGACTGTGGACCTGGTTTGCGTGTTTCTTGGTGTTTAGAAGAATGAAAGGAAAACAAGCCAAAACCAAGCAACCAAACCTTTACTAACTAATACAGGGGAAACTAGTGAGGTTTGTTTTTTTTCTACTAGCTTATTACACTGACAGTGTTAGAATAAAATCTACTCCAACTCCTTCCAAAATATGTTTAAATATTCATCCCAGATGACTGTCAAGTATTTAGGAGTCTAAGTGGCACGGTTCCATTACAAAAAACATAATTACTAAACCCAAGTCCCTTATTGATGTATGTGAACTTTACAGTTTTCAGCAGGTACGACCATACTGAACATCACAACATTCTGGAGCTACGTAGCATTAGGTGAATAGTTGAGATTTCTACTGAGTTGACATTAACTGTAATTTTGAGCATTCCTAGAAGCAGATTAGAAAGAAAATATTTTTAAAATATACGCAACATGCTGATGTTATATTAGTGCTACATTTACAGGAAATGACACCAGTGCAATACATGACCTACTAACTACTACTTTGACATCCTGCCACTAAGCTCCACAAATTGCATAGTCTTACCTGCTCGTCTTGGACCTATATGATGAGCCAATGTTATAGAAGATGATCTTTGTTTTGGTATTGTCAGCAAGTTTGCACCAAAAGACCCATTTGAATGAGATCCTTGGCTGAAAAATAAAACAGTAAGAATTTTTGTCTTTCCTGTCTTGTCTTCCATTTTGTTAAATAAAATGCTCATCAAGTGATTAGACTGCTGTGTTACAAGTCCAGTACAATTCAAGTAAAAGAGTACTAGAAAGAAGTCAAATTCAAGATCAGCCTGACAATGTGTGTCAATTATATGGAATAAAAACTGCTGGGTAATGGGTGAAAGCAACGGAAAAAATGTATGCAGTCCTAAAATGACACAGTAACTATACTCTGATCACGTGTCACAGGTTTTACTGTCTAACATGGTATTTACTTTTCCCAAATGTTTTAACAAAGCAAGCTATTTTCTAACAGATCTGTGAACATTTAAAAGATTTGTTACTTTGGAAATATCGTGACAATTTTATGTAGCCATAGCTTGCTTTTCAAAACAATTTTGCATATTTAATTAATAATTTTATTTATTCTCATCTTAAAACTAAAGCTGTCTGAGGAAGTCATACTGGGTTTCACAGCTACCTCCTTGAACCCAAGTGTTGAACTACGCCATCTGCTGTTCTAGGCATGAAATTGCACCCCAAAATTCCAATTACGTATTTCCCTTAGTAAACAAAAATGCAATATGCAATAAAAATAACTGTACATATGCACTTAAAAGTGAAAATAGTTTGTTTTGTTCTTCTGAAGTCTGATGCTGACATGTTAGCCAACTTCATAAACTGAGTTGGCAACTGGGATATATTAAACTTTTCACTATTTGTACACCGTTTAGCTGTCGTATCTTACATATATTCTTTTAAAGGACATAGAAATGCTGCATCAGTATTTAATGTAGGAAGACTATATATAAAGTCAGTTCATCTTGAACTAGGGTTTGAATGAGAAACCAAATTAAGACTTTGCATGCAAATAAAATAGCAGCTCTCCAGAGCTGTTTCTGGATATCATTTGGATGGATAGAAAAAAAACATTCTGGAATATTGAATCCAATTTTGTAGCAATATTAACTTATTACACCACTATGCAACATCTTACTTTTCTCAACTCAGCTAGAATTCAGTTGAAAGCAGTCATTATATGTAAAAAACTCTTTGGTTTTTGATAAGCTTTCCTCTTAGTGAAGAGTTTGTTGCTCCACTCCTACATTTTTTCACTATTAGCCTGCCTCTCCTTGCTTCTCCTTGAACATGTACTGGGTCCTTCATTGGGCCGAATCAGCTCCCCAGGACAGAAACAACCATCTTTTTATTATTATTTTATTACTAGTTTTAATCAGATGAGCTCAAGTAGGTCCTTTGGACAGTTAGAGCCATAAGGAAACCATCTGTAAACCTACACTGTGTCTGCACCAGAAGTGCTAAGCCTCAAACCTCAGTCTGGAAATTCAAAGCAATTCCTCTGGTCTCTGGTTATTTCCAGTGGCTATAACTTGGACATACTTTCAAACACTGATAACCAATCAGCATGAAAATGCAATCTTTAAACTACTATCTTCAATTCTATTTTAGACACAAACCACAATTAAGTTTCACTACGTAAAAACCTGAGGAGTGTCTTTTATTCAAGGGTGTATTTGATTTGCATGGCAAGGTTTTGGTAGGCAGGGGGCTACAGGGGTGGCTTCTGTGAGACGCTGCTAGAAACATCTCCCAGTGCCAGCTGACTCCAAGACAGACCCACAGCTGGTCAAGGCCAAGCCAAGCCAAGCCTCTGTGATGACATATTCCCAAGAAGAGGGGAAAAAACCCTGTGCAACAACCTGCAGATGGACAGAGGATTGGAGATATGTGAGAGCAACAACTCTGCAGATGCCAAAGTCAGTGAAGGATGGGGAGGAGGTGCTCCAGGTGCCAGAGCAGACATTCCTCTGCAACCTGTGGTGAAGACCACAGAGGAAAGGCTGTCCCCCTGCAGCCCATGGAGGTTAACAGTGGAGCAGAGATCCACCTGCAGCCTGCAGAGGACCCCGCACTGAAGCAGACTGATGCCCAAAGAAGGCTGTGACCCCATGGAAAGCCTGTGCTGAAGCAGGCTCCTGGCAGCACCTGTAGACCCATGGAAAGAGCAGCCCATGTTGGAGCAGGTTTGCTGGCAGGACTTGTGACCCAGTGGGGGACTCATGCTGGAGCAGTCTGTTCCTGAAGGACTGGACCCATGTTGGAGCAGTTTACGAAAGTTCTTGTAGCCTGTGGAAAGGACTCATCTTGGAGCAGTTTGTGGAGGACTGTCTCCCATGGGAGAGACCCCACACTGGAGCAGGGGAAGAGTGTGAGGAATCCTCCCCCTGAGGAGAAAGGAACGGCAGAAACAACATATGATGAACTTACTGCAACCCCCATTCCCTATTCCCCTGCACCACTGATGGGGGAAGGGAAAGAAATCGGGAGTAAATTTAAACCCAGGGAGAAAAGAGGAGTGGGAGGAGGGTGTTTTAAGATTTGGTTTGATTTCTATTTGTCCTACTCTGATTTGATTAGTATTAAACTAAACTAATTTCCCCAAGTCGAGTCTGTTTTGCCCATGATGGTAATTAGTGAATGAACTCTCCCTGTACATATCATGACCCATGAGCCTTTTGTTGTATTTTCTCTCCCCTGCCCAGTTGAGGACAGGAGTGATAGAGCAGCTTTGGTGGCTACCTGGCACTCAGCTAGGGTCAAACTCACCAAAAAGGGGAGAAAGACACTGACATAGGCCAAATTATTTAAATTATTTGCTATAAAATTAAATACAATATTTATAAGTTCTTGGACATGTGTATATAGAGTTTCATCCATTATTACTAATTATCAGTTATTAGCATAACTCATATTTTCTTTTTAAAAAATGCACCTATTATACTTTACTTATGACCTATGTAAAAGCCATTAAAGTCCTATAAGAAACCAAGCATTTTTAAAAAACCCCAACCAAAGCCAAAACAACCACACACACACATTTTTACAGATTTAAGCTGCAACATCATTTCAAACATCTGCTGTAATTTTCTCACAAGATATTGAGTAAAGCCATAGCCATTTACACATCTAAATAAAGCTAAATGTGTGAAGTGTCACTCATATACAAGATTAACAAAAAAAATTATGTTTATTTTAATCCTAATTCAAAATGTAATCTTAGTTCTGGAAATAAAAGGGTTGTTTGCACCATACTGGCTAACAAGTACAGAAGATTTTCCTTTCTCAGTCTACCTTACTGCTTGCTTGATGACCATAGGAATAACAGACGTTGCAATACACACAACAGTGACTACCAAATACAATAAAGTTATATCATTTTTTTAACTAGAAAGCAAATTTTTGGGCATGTGAAAGTTAGAAAGTGATACCTATTTCAAGTAAAAAAGAGAAGGAGGAAGTCAGTAAAGGTTTAGAGGTTAAACTAGTTTGTTTTGCAATCATGTATGTTGGACTTTTTTCTTCTTTCCTACTAAAACCGATATGCAGGTCTAGTTATGATAGAGCATGCCATTCAACCCCAGAATGACCTAATTTCTAGTTGACATCAAACAGAGTTACAGAGTACAGTATATCATTAACTTGAAAGGTTTTCCAGTTTATACTGGCAGAATTTGGAGATTAATTCACAGGATTTTACGTTGAATACTTCCACTGCCGAGCTCAAACATTATGGACGTGAACATTTTAGAAAGGCTACATTTATTATTCCCCTTAAAACGCGGTTAAGTGCTTACCTTGATGTGTTGTATTCCTGATGCAATCTCTTATTGTTGCTCCGTTCCCACCTAGATGATGTTGATTCTATAGGTGGAATGACAGAAACTCCTGAAGGTCGCCTCAGCTGTGGTGCTGGCAGGCTATTCCTGCCATTTAACCCCTGTTGAGCAATTTAACCATGATTAAAAGCGATATAATTTAAAACAGATACTAAAATTTTATTTATTGTTCGTGTAGACTATTGTTATTTTTTTAATAGTGAAATAGCAAGTATGGCATCTTACATTCACTCCTATTGCTTGAGAAAATAAAAAAAGATTATTTCACTTACTAGGAATAATTATTTTTTATATATCTTTCTTTTTCCTCAAATTAAAATATGTAAATATACTTGTACTCTGAAATTCATGTGGTCCAACAGTTAGTAGAGCTTTTAAAACTTGAGATCTTCTAGAGACAGTCAGTTGCTCTAGGATTACAGATCCTTTTTCTACACATTCCAATCATACGACTACGCAGCCAGCTCTCCAGTTCCCAGGATAGCCTGAGATTTCAACAGCTCGAATGCTAACTATTGACAGTGCGAATAGTGTGGAACTCATGTAAAGGGTGATGCACAATGCACAGGGTCAGTTCTGGTTCGGCAAGGCTCCCTCTCTGCTTCCGTACCAGCCCCACTGCAACTGGGAAGCTTCCCAGGGACTTCACCACTCCCAGCCTGGGAGCTGTGTTAGTTCAGGCACAGTGCAGCATGAACCATGGTACTGAACAAAATCCTCTGCAAAGCAGGGCAACGGCACTTGGAAATAACTCAGTCCTGCACGGAAATAACTCAGTACTTACTAGCTCTGCCTTACTGAAATATCCCCAGAAAAGTATATCCATGTCTAAATAGAAAATAGTAGAAACTAACTAACAGAAAGGATAGGGTCACTGAAACAGAACTGCAAAGCCAGCTCTGGCATATCTGCATCCATTGCACAAATAACCTATATATTATATTTTAAACAATTTAAAAAAAAATAATCTCTGACTGCATTCAATCTATGATCTATTTGTTATCTCATCCCTAGATTTGGCTATTCAGTGGAGTGGGGGTGTGCAGTGGGGAAAGGTTCAGCATAATACAGATGTGTGTGATCAGACCTTGCGAAGTAAAAAGGATGCCAGGAAAAAAAATGTTTAAAACAAAATCCAAAGTAATATTTACAGTATTGAGTAAGGCTTGCAGGGTCATGTGGGAGGACAGGTGCCTCTTGGATACCACCACTTCAAAAGCCTGGCAGAAATAATGACTTTGCAGCTTTAAGCTTCATCAGGTGGTCAAAGATCATACTTAGATATATACAAAGCTATTGCATATTTCAAAAAAATGAAAAAAACACAAAAGAGTACAGTTTGTTACCCTGAAATATCAGGCTGCTTTGAGTCCTTGATGTTGGATGTACCTTGACCCTGTTTGCTTTGCTGAAAACCTGCAGCCACAGCCAGAAAGGTGGAATTGGACAGGCAGAATAAGACCACCATATGAGGAAAAACTTTTTTACTGTAAGGCTTATGGAGCACTGAACAGGCTGCCCAGAGAGGTTGTGGAGCCTCCTTCTCTGCAGACATTCAAAACCTGCCTGGCCGTGTTCCTGTGTGACTGCTCTGGTGATCCTGCTCTGGCAGGGGTTGGACTGGATGAGCTTTCCAGGTCCCTTCCAACTCCTCAGATTCTGTGATTCTGTGATATGGCTCACAGAAACATGCAGTAGTCCTTAATCAACCCTACCAGAAAGGGTACTGGAGGAGCATATTCTGTGTGCTATCGTACAGCAGTAGTGTGCTCAGGCTAGAGTTGACTTCTCTATCAGTGGACCACATCAATCTAACCTTCATGCTCTCTACAACATGAGGAGCAAGCTGAAAATCCCCAACATTGCAGAAGAAAGGTCCACTCCCCAAAACAAGTGCACATGTTAGCGCAGTATGGAAAGAAGGCCCCTAGCACCTGCACTTAATTTTTCTTCTTAATAGCTACTCTAAGAGTGAGGGAACACTGAGGACATGACAAATCTCCAGAACTTTCCCCTATCAGATAAAGAAGCAAAGAATAAACAAAACATTGGTAGAAATGGATTCAGGAACTCCAGATCCCTCTACGCTAGCAAAGTCGCTGGTAACCACAATACAAATGGGAAAAGTTGCTCCGAAAACAAAAACTTAGACCGTGCCAGAAATCAAAGTTATTATGAAAACTTTCAGTTATCAGCAATAACAAGGCCAGGAGACAAGGAATGTGGATACTAAATATGGCTTGAGGCAGTTTATGTGGCTTCAAAATCCTAATTTGGGCCAAGCTGCCCACTGCCTGGAAATGGAGGCAACTACAGAGGAGGGATGTCCCAGACCATCCTCCACAACAAACAGCCTCAAGCTGTCAGTACTGAGCCACCCTAGAATTATCAGCTCTGGTGCACCCAATCTGAGATTTGAATGCATTTGAACATTTGAATGTGTTTCCACCATGTTCCTTAATGTGTCATTTAGTAGCTACCTTCTGTTTTCACGTATTTATCCTACATAACAGAGATGTGGCAGTAGATTTACACACTAGTCCCATTACATGATGTGCTGCACAGAAAGAAGAGATACTTTTCCTTTTACACAGCTGATTTGCATCTGTCTGATGGCCAGTTTGATGTTCATAAGAGTAAATTGCTTTGGAAAAAAGGTAACATAATTGTTAGATCAAGAACGTGGGAGAATAAAAAAGAATATAACACCTTAATTTCATATTTGCTTTTAGTTTCTTTAATTCTATTTCCAGGACTCGTGTGTTCAGAGTGCAGACCAGTGCTTTTACCTCTCTATCCATCAAGCGCTTGAATTTGCATGTTGATACCTGTCCACATTTCATTCAATGTGTTTTCACAGCTGCTCTCTTTTAACCTTAAACGTAGTTCACAGGTACCCAGTACAGAAGCTACTATTCATACAGGAGCATACTTTCCAGATTAATTTTTCTTGATATTTTTTTTTTTAAATTACAACACACACATACATGAAAATTAAAGTAATTTGACCTTGAGCAGCTTTCGATCTCCCTTTTCAGTAGGATCCTCTATTTCAGGACAGGGGAGGAAACCAGGAAACTGTGTGAATGGGTTGGCCTTTGGTCTGCATATGCCCCAAAAAGCACCAATCAAACTATTAATGCTTTGAAGGGAAGAAATCACTTGTGGTGGAAGAGATGGGTCAGTCAGGAGGTCTAGTATTATGCTTCGAGCCTCATTTAGTACTGAAAGATCAGCTCCATTTCCACTGCCAGCATTCTAGAATAGATGGAAATGATTTAAATAAGCATCTTAGCCATTGCAAATTTAAAAAATAAATTATAAGATAAACACAATGTATTTTTCTCTCAAATTATATACACACACACACACACACACACATATATATAGACATATTCAGACACCAATTTTTGCAGGTGTATTCCACACAATTAAAAAAAAATAAAATACTTCAGAATTCAACATTAGCTTTCAGTTTATTTTTATCTATTTAAAATAAAGATCTGGTGCTAGTTTTTTAACCTCAATTTTTCATTACTTTGAGTCAGAGTTAAGTTTAGTATTCCATCTCCTCTATATAATATCAACAGAAATTTTGGTGGCCAAACTGTTATAAACCACTTATAAAGATGCAACTTCCATGGCCTCATTACTTTCATTAACCCTGATTCTACAGATACAAATGTTAACAATTCTGTCAAAAAAATGATTTTTATTTGGTTTAATTCTCTGAACAGAAACAGCAATAGCTGATTAAACGCCACTGCTGATAGGAGAGAGAGGGGGAGTAACAAACAGTCAGGAAAAAAAGGTGAGAACCTGGTAGACCTCAGTTTGGTGACACTGCTGGGGAATCACTCCCTAACCTTTCGCTAATAGATATTAAACAAACCAAACAAACTAACAAAAAAACCAAACCAAAGCACTCCCAGCTCAGTTAGGTTTGAAACTGTTCTCATATACACCATAGAAAATAGATCCCAGTCAATTTGGTCAGAACTGCTAAATAACAAGTCTTATTGTTACGTTACAGTCTAATATCAGAGCTTGAACGCACTAGGATAACTTCAGTAGAGAAAATTTCAACAGAAAAACTGAAATCTGGCAGTTCACAGTGAACCCAGTACTCAGTCACATTTCGCAAAAGATTAATTAGATTCAGAATTCACTGACCTGGTAATAGGGCTTGCACCATTGCTTCAAGTCCCAGTCCCAAAGTATCATCTGTAAAGGAAATAAACCAACCAAACAGAAAAAAGAAGATTAATAGGTGATATGCTAATGCTGGAAAAAAACAATGGCATAAATCTTGAATGTGTGTTGTAATACAAAATGCTTCTCCTTTCATGTTGTTATATGTAACTTGGGCCATTTTCTCAGTTAATGCTACCCCAGTAAAAGTTCTAAAGAAGAGTTTGAAGAAATTGCATGCAGCGGAGATATCTTGATGACAGAGTAATTATATGGCCTTATTTAAATATTTCTGGATTGCTTATAAACCATTTAACGTGTACACTAAACTAGGCGATGACAGTGCTTTCCTGCTTCTATTCACCTCAACTCAAAAAAGCAGAGCTATCCTACAATCTCCAATATAGTTTATACTTTTTTGTTTCCAGAACCACTGAAACAGTAACAATTTTGTAAATATAGTGCAGAAAGCACTACATTAACATAATCTGTTTTTAAAAAGGAAAAAGGCTCCCCAATATCTCAGGTGAAAAATTGGTAATTTAAAAAGCATTTTGTTGCAGGAGGATTTGTTAGGTTTTGTTTGAGCATGGTTACAAATCTACACGTTCCGAATAACTTCACAAAACCCACCAAACCCACAGAAGAACGTCAGCAGCACAATCAGAAGATACCATCAGCTTCAAGTACGTCAACAACTCCCGGTTTTTCTTCTAACTGACAAAAAATAAGAACAACATACAAGAACTGAAGTTCAGATGGTTTGTTTTGTTTCAAAAGCCTTCGGTCTTCCTGACTTCTTAACAGGTTCTAATTCTTCTCCGCTCATGAATTTATTTGCATGACATGCATTCACAAATTTAACAAAGATATCCTTTTTTTTTTTTTCCTGTTTTCTGAAGCTACAGGTCAAATAAAAGTGCCAGTGTCCCACTTGGTAGTTCATGTTCTGCAGTACTGTAAGTTTTTCTGCTTATTTTTATGGGTGAGAACTATGCTTAGTTTTGTTCCTCTAAGACTAACACCTCTTTCATAGAGAAAACACAATCCAGGCTGGCATTTGCCCAGCAGAAGGTGCAGAAAGGGTCAATAAAGAGACACAGGCTGACGTGTCAGCAACATCCAGGGAAGAGGGGCATTTTAAGGCTCTTTTTCCTCTTCTATTATCATCATAGAGACACTACTAAACCATGTTTAAATTTAATAGTTATGACATCCACGTGCTAAGAAAAGTGAAGAGATCTATCATTAGCATGTTTCAACTGGAAACAAGTTACGCTGCACCAGAAAGTCATATTGTGTAAAGCAAGCAGATCTAAACCAAGAATTAAGAATTTAAGAACTTGATTTTTTGTATTTTTGTTTGGTTTTGGGTTTTTTTCAGTGATTCATCAAGCTACCTCATCCATCAACTGAGATTACTGTTAGCCTGTCAGTGACAAGCATTAGGATAAAGACCAACATTATCTGGTGATACCCACTTCGCATGATGCATTTGGTTTTAGCAGGACCATTGTATTAAGATGATTGGGTTTTTTTCTTCCATAGCAAACTAGAATGAGTTGTCCGTCTGGGCAGGTTGGGGTTTTTTGTTTTTCCTCATTCTCAATCTCTTTCCAGATTGACATTTATTTACTGTACCAAAAGTAGGTAAATCTTTTGGTTTCATTCTGTCCTCATCAGCTCGGACACAGAGAATGCATTAGTCTGCTTCGTAGACTGTTGACTCAACCAGCGACAAAGATCAGATGCCCACAAGAGTTTTGTCAGTTGTATCAACAACCTTTGATACCAATGGTCTAAGGAAGTTGCATCAGATTGCTTGCAATCTTGCAATTTCCATCAGGGCACACAAAAGGTTTCCCTTCCTCCATCTCTTCTAATATTTTAATTTTCTTTTAAATATGTGGCATGGTAGCTAATTTTATTTATTTTTTGTATATGAGGTCTTAATACAATACCTATTCTGTATGGAACATTTCTGTACCAAAGCTTCAACCGCAACTACTTTTACTGATGCAACCTCCTTTAAGACATCAGGAGCTCTCGTGTGCATGTATGCACACACGTGTGCGCTCAAGTAAGCCATACTATTATCATTTTGGGGGTCAATCTATATGTCTAAAAAAGTTCAAAACCTTCCTTTTGGCTTTAACCCTGCTATAGTAAAGAAATAAGCTCAAAGTTGCAGAGGTAAAAAAAATATTCAATGGAAAGTGTTACTTCTATATCTTGTGTCCCATACTCACCCAGGGTACAGCTCATGCAAATTGTACTTTCAATGCAAACAATGCTTTGATATTTTAAATGGCATGGCAACATTTTATACACAATTCTACTTAAATGAAAAAATTCACCTTAATGACTGCTAGCATCATCATTAAAATGAGCTAGTGACATTTTTAGGCCCAAAGTAGCAATCTCTTCTACCAAGCACAATGGAAAAAATGTAGATCACTATACAATTAATATTTTGCCATGGGAAATACAACTCGGTACATCTCTAATACTAACCAAATCCTTACAGGTTAAGAATGCAAAGGGGTTTGAAACCTTCTCTTAGACGCTTACAACACACCACAAGATGGCACTCAAATCCAGAAAGTCTCCTCGACAAAACGATTTTGGGAGAAAGAAAACCAGCAGCATGTTCCTTAACAGACCTTCTGCAGAATCGCAATGGTACGGGGGACGGGGACGGACAGTTTTAAAGGTCAGCAACTAATAAATTCTGCTTCTTTAAAAAAAAAACTTCTCTGTTTAAAGAAGAATTTACTTCTTAGCATTCTATTTAGAAACTAACTGCAAGGAAACTGTACTTTGTTTCTCACTACCTCCCAAATTTAGTTTAATTAGTCTAACTCCATGACTTACAAGTTAAATCTGAAACACTAGAAAAGCAGCATTTTTTAAATTATTTTTGTTGAGAGTTTGGCAGTTGATGCTTCAACTAATTACTGTGGATCATCAACCGAAGTTATAAAGTATTCCTAGAGCTGCATTAATCTTACAACAGGAGTAAAAAGGATACAGTTTATTTTGACTTAATGTGAACAGACCAATAGATCTTAAAATAGGTCTTAAGCAGAGCCTCAGCAATTTTTGATTTTGCAACCAGTTGTTGCAGAAAGACATTCCCTGTAACACCAGCATTTTGTAATCTATTGCACATCACATTCTTCCTCACCTCCTCCAACAAGAAACACCTGATCTAGGAGGACTTGAATCATAAAAGTTCCAAGCTAGAGCTTGCTTAAGCCTCTGCGAAGCAACTCACATGCTTCGGCATCTGAGCATCCCTTGTCAGTGGCAACATCACAGCAACCACGCAACTGGGATCTCCTCTGAAAATAAAACTGCAGTGGGCTCGGATACTGCAGATGAATGTCTGAAAGTTGAGAAATGTATAGCCCTCCCCCTATAACCATGCATACCAAGCTACCAGTCAGCTTGGAGAAGTTCGCATATGAACCTGACTCACACAGAGCAATGATCACACTTTCCTCATTTCATATAATTGCCTGTCAAGCTGATCAGGCTTTTGAAGGACAGTTAATAAAAACAAAAACAAAACCACCACACTACAAAAAAACCAAACCCAAACCAAACAAAACCCCACACATAACAGTACTACGCCTTGTTCTTTAACAGTCAGGGACTGTACTGTGGTCAAATATAATGACTGAATCTATTGCCTATGAAATAAATTTCAACAGTTAAAAGATGACAAGCAAGCTTACAAAAACCCCTTAACTACAAGTGACCTTTTTCAATTTGTCCACCATCAGCCAGTGACAGGTTTGGGTCAAACTAAAACATGCTGCTCAAAACAGGCTAGGAGAATCAACAGAACGAATTTGCATCTCTGGAAATACTCTTTTTTTTTTTCCAAAAGGTTAAAAAGGTTATTAAAAATCAACAAGTTCCCCACGGAGTTGCTATTCTTAAGAATTAACTATTATATTCAGTTCTATGGATGTTTAGTCAAATCTAAGGAGACTTCAAATACATATCACTTACTGGAAAATGCAGGAAAATTGGCAGTAGGCACCAAATATTACCCTTTGTTTGTATTTTCTTAAACAATGAAAACACTATTTCCATATACTCCAGAGTATTCATGCAATTCGAACACAAGAATTTTAGCATCAACTTATCTGACACTATCTGTAATCCATCCCTGCACTGAGAGGGGGAGGAGAGGGGAGGGGAAGCCCTGTTTGTTAAATATCAACCCAAGAATTACCAAAACTTTAGGACAGTACTTTTGCAAAGCACACGTAATTAGCAACATCAGAAACGTTTGTTAAAAAGTTACACAACATAACAGTAATATCAGCCTTCCCTGAAGTCCAAACAGCAACAGGAACAAGTCATATTAATTTTTAAAAAGAAAAAGTAAAAAAGTGCTCCTCTGAGAAGCTTATAGAATCATAGAATTGTTTAGGTTGGAAAATAAAAGATCATCAAGTCCAACTGTTAACCTAGCATTGACAACTCCACCACTAAAACATGTCCCTCAGTGCCACATCTACGTCTATTTTAAATACCTCCAGAGACAGTGACTCCACCACTTCCCTGGGCAGCCTGTTCCAGTGCTTGACAACCATTTTCCTAGTATCCAATCTTCCCAGGCACAACTTCAGGCCACTTCCTCTTGTGCTATCACTTGTTACTTGGGAGAAGAGACATCAACACTCACCGTGCGACAACCTCCTTTCAGGTAGCTGCAGAGAGCAATAAGGTCTCCCCTCAGCCTCCTTTTCTCCAGACTAAACAACCCAAGATCTCTCAGCCACTCCTCATAAACCTATTCTCTTCTCTAGATCCTTCACCAGCTTTGTTGCCCTTCTTTGGACATGCTCCAGCACCTCAATGTCTTCCTTGAAGTGAGGGCCCCAGAACTGAACACAGTATTTGAGGTGCAGTCTCACCAGTGCTGAGTACAGAGGCACAACCACTTCCTTGCTCCTGCTGGCCACACTATTTCTGATACAAGCCAGGATGCCATTGGCCTTCCTGGCCACCTGAGC